CCGATCTTGTTGAGTTTGTAAAGGAGCAAGCTGATATAGCTAATACTAGATATGGCCTACTCGTCAACCGCGGTAGTAATAGTGACAATAGAGATGTTGGCGTTTTAAAAAGGAAAATTAGTACAGATTACAATGCAGCAAGAATATCTTATGTGAGTGCTAGTGATGATAATGCTCTCTTACGCAGTTCATCTTGTTTGGAGTGCTCCAGTAATCATTCTTTAGATCAATGTCAGAAATTTAAAGACACGAATGTTAGAGAAAGGAAGGAATTCGTTCTTAGACACAAGTTGTGTAATGTATGCCTGAAGGCAAACCACGTAGCAAAAAACTGTCGATCGCCGAGGTCGTGTGCTGTCGAAGGGTGTGGCTGGAGACACCATACTCTGTTACATGAGTTGCGGGAAGAACCAAGGAATACTAATATTGATGCACACATTAACACCCAGCTATGTACGGAGAAAAGTGTTGAGAGTGTACAGAAACAAGCAGCATTCGCAATAGTGCCTGTACTGGTAAGAAATGGAGAAAAGGTAGCACAGACTTGCGCCTTCTTAGATAGTGGGTCGGATGCCTCTCTTATTACAGAAGATCTAGCTAAAAGGTTGAATTTAGAAGGAGAGCCTAAGACGATTTCGTTGAAAACGTTGGATAACCATTCCACAATTCAGTGTAAAGAGGTTCAACTAGAGGTTTCATCCTTAGACTCGTCTTCGTCATTTAGAATCCCAAACGTCTGGACAGTCGAGAGATTACCTATGTTGCGCAGGACGGTACCAACGACGTCTCAAATGAAATCCTGGATGCATTTAAAAGACATAAGTTTTCCTAGAGTGGAGGATGAGAATGTCGAACTGTTGATCGGGTGCAATGCACTGAGTGTACACGAAATGAAAGAGGTAAGAACTGGAAAACCAATGAACCATTCGCCGTGAAGACTCCGTTAGGTTGGACGCTGTTCGGTTCCTATGGGGAACCCTGTAAAAGCAATCGTGTACTCAATCACCTCTCAGCTAAAGAGGAATTAGAGGATAAGTTTGAACAATCGTATTTAACTGAATTCAAAGACCTACTTAGTCGTACTTCATCGATGTCTATGGAAGATCGTATAGCATTATCAGAATCTGCATATGGTGTCGCGGAGTATACTCGTCCCGAAGATGTCTCTCGTCAAGTTCATTGTTCGTTTTTAATAACTAAGTATAAGGTTGTTAAGCCAAAAACTGAAGCATCATCTGCTAATAAATCCAAATCAACTCTAAGAAAGCTTAAGGAAAAGAAGGACATCGAACTGAAAGTGAAGACTACGAAAAGGCCGAAGACCACTGTAACGAAGAAGCCAGTAACTAAGACCATGAAGAAGCAGGTAGCACATATTCGCCGTGGTATCGAGGATGGTGTTGAGAAAGACGCCCTTGTACGAGATGTGAACAAGAGTAAGGGTACATCTGGTAGTTCTGTATGGTCCAAAGCTATTGTCGAACAAGTAAGCTATGGCTTCGACGAACGAGTTCGTACGGCCAAATTGAGAACCTCAAACGAAGAAACTGCTCGGGACGTACGACGCTTATGTTTACTAGAAGGAGCCGGCTGTCTGACGGCGACGACGACCCTGGACATCGGACGTGGTGCGCGTTTCGGGGAGAGTGTAAAATGTGATTGATAGACGAACCCACCAATAATAAGGGAAACGCCCACCACCACATCAACTCCCTTTGACCTTGTACGACTGTATCTGTTCATTAACCAATCACAGTTTAATGCTCACTGTAAAACAATTTTTGGCTGTTGACTCATTTTTCCTATTCTCTGGCCACTGTTCGGTATGTTATTTGTCTCTGTTTTTCTCTGTATTAATAGACCGTACTGTTTGTTTGTACGCTAACGATGTTAATTTATGTTTAGAAACAGATAAAGTTTATATAGCCAAATAGCTTACTTGTTCTGACTTTGGCTAAACCAGGACTCTGTACTCGACTGTCTAGAGATAAGTTTAGAGTTGAATCTGTACGAAATTGCTTCCTACAAAGTTTCGAACAGTACATTCGATAAACCTACTGAAATGACTTCCAATAAACACTACGATTCCGATGAGATTCCAGAATTATCACCACATCATTCAGGAGTTTATGATGAGGATCAACTTGGAAAGAACGAACTCAAAAACAACAGCATGATAGAACTAGAGTTAGCTAGGTTGCGCATAACCCAGTTAGAAAAGGAAATTGAACTAGAAAAATTACGCTGCCGGAGATGTGAAGGTTCCGGCCAATCAGTAAGCAACAGTGAGAATACAATATTAAAAAATCTGTATTTACCAAAAAGAGAAGTCGTAAGGTTTGATGGTACACCGACAAATTATTGGAATTTCATTAGAAATTTCGAGAAATGCATTGGGAGTGAGAATACTGGATTTAGAGCTAAGCTAAATTACTTGATTCAATATTGTGACGTAGAAGCGAAAGCCGCTATCCTTCATTGTACTATACTAGAACCAGAGATGGGTTACCATCAAGCCCTAAAGCTTTTAGAAGAAACGTTTGGCCAAAAACACGTCGTAGCACGCACGTTTATCGATAATTTGTTAAACTTTCCCAATATAAGGAGAAATCAACCAGATGGTTTGAGAAGACTATCTCGAGAAATGCAAGCACGTAGTTTGACTCTCGAACAGATGAATTACGTTTCTGATTTGAACTCTTCTAGAACTATTGAAACTATGGTTCTGAAATTACCAACGCACATTCAACAAGAGTGGCTAAAGGTAGCTTATAAGATTATCAGAGGAGGCAGAGAGCCTCTGTTTACCGATCTTGTTGAGTTTGTAAAGGAGCAAGCTAATATAGCTAATACTAGATACGGCCTACTCGTCAACCGCGGTAGTAATAGTGACAATAGAGATGTTGGCGTTTTAAAAAGGAAAATTAGTACAGATTACAATGCAGCAAGAATATTTTATGCGAGTGCTAGTGATGATATTGCTCTCTTACGCAGTTCATCTTGTTTGGAGTGCTCCAGTAATCATTCTTTAGATCAATGTCAGAAATTTAAAGACAAGGATGTTAGAGAAAGGAAGGAATTCGTTCTTAGACACAAGTTGTGTAATGTATGTCTGAAGGCAAACCACATAGCAAAAAACTGTCGATCGCCGAGGTCGTGTGCTGTCGAAGGGTGTGGCTGGAGACACCATACCCTGTTACACAAGTTGCGGGGAGAACAAAGGAATACTAATATTGATGCACACATTAACACCCAGCTATGTACGGAGAAAAGTGTTGAGAGTGTACAGAAACAAGCAGCATTCGCAATAGTGCCTGTACTGGTAAGAAATGGAGAAAAGGTAGCACAGACTTGCGCCTTCTTAGATAGTGGGTCGGATGCCTCTCTTATTACAGAAGATCTAGCTAAAAGGTTGAATTTAGAAGGAGAGCCTAAGACGATTTCGTTGAAAACGTTGGATAACCATTCCACAATTCAGTGTAAAGAGGTTCAACTAGAGGTTTCATCCTTAGACTCGTCTTCGTCATTTAGGATCCCAAACGTATGGACATTCGAGAGATTACCTATGTTGCGCAGGACGGTACCAACGACGTCTCAAATGAAATCCTGGATGCATTTAAAAGACATAAGTTTTCCTAGAGTGGAGGATGAGAATGTCGAACTGTTGATCGGGTGCAATGCACTGAGTGTACACGAAATGAATGAGGTAAGAACTGGAAAACCAAATGAACCATTCGCAGTGAAGACTCCGTTAGGTTGGACGCGGTTCGGTTCCTATGGGGAACCCTGTAAAAGCAATCGTGTACTCAATCACCTCTAGCCTAAAGAGGAATTAGAGGATAAGTTTGAACAATCGTATTTACCTGAATTCAAAGACCTACTTAGTCGTACTTCATCGATGTCTATGGAAGATCGTATAGCATTATCAGAATCTGCATATGGTGTCGCGGAGTATACTCGTCCCGAAGATGTCTCTCGTCAAGTTCATTGTTCGTTTTTAATAACTAAGTATCAGGTTGTTAAGCCAAAAACTGAAGCATCATCTGCTAATAAATCCAAATCAACTCTAAGAAAGCTTAAGGAAAAGAAGGACATCGAACTGAAAGTGAAGACTACGAAAAGGCCGAAGACCACTGTAACGAAGAAGCCAGTAACTAAGACCCTGAAGAAGCAGGTAGCACATATTCGCCGTGGTATCGAGGATGGTGTTGAGAAAGACGCCCTTGTACGAGTTGTGAACAAGAGTAAGGGTACATCTGGTAGTTCTGTATGGTCCAAAGCTATTGTCGAACAAGTAAGCTATGGCTTCGACGGACGAGTTCGTACGGCAAAATAGAGAACCTCAAACGAAGAAACTGCTCGGGACGTACGACGCTTATGTTTACTAGAAGGAGCCGGCTGTCTGACGGCGACGACGACCCTGGACAACGGACGTGGTGCGCGTTTCGGGGAGAGTGTAAAATGTGATTGATAGACGAACCCACCAATAATAAGGGAAACGCCCAACACCACATCAACTCCCTTTGACCTTGTACGACTGTATCTCTTCATTAACCAATCACAGTTTAATGTTCATTGTAAAACAATTTTGGCTTGTTGACTCATTTTTCCTATTCTCTAGCTACTGTTCGGTATGTTATTTGTCTCTGTTTTTCTCTGTATTAATAGACCGTACTGTTTGTTTGTACGCTAACGATGTTAATTTATGTTTAGAAACAGATAAAGTTTATATAGCCAAATAGCTTACTTGTTCTGACTTTGGCTAAACCAGGACTCTGTACTCGACAGTCTAGAGATAAGCTTAGAGTTGAATCTGTAGGAAATTGCTTCCTACAAAGTTACGAACAGTACATTCGATAAACCTACTGAAATGACTTCCAATAAACACTACGATTCCGATGAGATTCCAGAATTATCATCACATCATTCAGGAGTTTATGATGAGGATCAACTTGGAAAGAACGAACTCAAAAACAACAGCATGATAGAACTAGAGTTAGGTAGGTTGCGAATAACCCAGTTAGAAAAGGAAATTGAACTAGAAAAATTACGCTTGCGGAGATGTGAAGGTTCCGGCCAATCAGTAAGCAACAGTGAGACTACCATATTAAAAAATCTGTATTTACCAAAAAGAGAAGTCGTAAGGTTTGATGGTACACCGACAAATTATTGGAATTTCATTAGAAATTTCGAGAAATGCATTGGGAGTGAGAATACTGGATTTAGAGCTAAGCTAAATTACTTGATTCAATATTGTGAAGTAGAAGCGAAAGCCGCTATCCTTAATTGTACTATACTAGAACCAGAGATGGGTTACCATCAAGCCCTAAAGCTTTTAGAAGAAACGTTTGGCCCAAAACACGTCGTAGCACGCACGTTTATCGATAATTTATTAAACTTTCCCAATATAAGGAGAAATCAACCAGATGGTTTGAGAAGACTATCTCGAGAAATGCAAGCATGTAGTTTGACTCTCGAACAGATGAATTACGTTTCTGATTTGAACTCTTCTAGAACTATAGAAACTATGGTTCTGAAATTACCAACGGACATTCAACAAGAGTGGCTAAAGGTAGCTTATAAGATTATCAGAGGAGGCAGAGAGCCTCTGTTAACCGATCTTGTTGAGTTTGTAAAGGAGCAAGCTGATATAGCTAATACTAGATATGGCCTACTCGTCAACCGCGGTAGTAATAGTGACAATAGAGATGTTGGCGTTTTAAAAAGGAAAATTAGTACAGATTACAATGCAGCAAGAATATCTTATGTGAGTGCTAGTGATGATAATGCTCTCTTACGCAGTTCATCTAGTTTGGAGTGCTCCAGTAATCATTCTTTAGATCAATGTCAGAAATTTAAAGACAAGAATGTTAGAGAAAGGAAGGAATTCGTTCTTAGACACAAGTTGTGTAATGTATGCCTGAAGGCAAACCACGTAGCAAAAAACTGTCGATCGCCGAGGTCGTGTGCTGTCGAAGGGTGTGGCTGGAGACACCATACTCTGTTACATGAGTTGCGGGAAGAACCAAGGAATACTAATATTGATGCACACATTAACACCCAGCTATGTACGGAGAAAAGTGTTGAGAGTGTACAGAAACAAGCAGCATTCGCAATAGTGCCTGTACTGGTAAGAAATGGAGAAAAGGTAGCACAGACTTGCGCCTTCTTAGATAGTGGGTCGGATGCCTCTCTTATTACAGAAGATCTAGCTAAAAGGTTGAATTTAGAAGGAGAGACTAAGACGATTTCGTTGAAAACGTTGGGTAACCATTCCACAATTCAGTGTAAAGAGGGTCAACTAGAGGTTTCATCCTTAGAAACGTCTTCGTCATCTTGAATCCCAAACGTATGGACAGTCGAGAGATTACCTATGTTGCGCAGGACGGTACAAACGACGTCTCAAATGAAATCCTGGATGCATTTAAAAGACATAAGTTTTCCTAGAGTGGAGGATGAGAATGTCGAACTGTTGATCGGGTGCAATGCACTGAGTGTACACGAAATGCAAGAGGTAAGAACTGGAAAACCAAATGAACCATTCGCCGTGAAGACTCCGTTAGGTTGGACGCTGTTCGGTTCCTATGGGGAACCCTGTAAAAGCAATCGTGTACTCAATCACCTCTCAGCTAAAGAGGAATTAGAGGATAAGTTTGAACAATCGTATTTAACTGAATTCAAAGACCTACTTAGTCGTACTTCATCGATGTCTATGGAAGATCGTATAGCATTATCAGAATCTGCATATGGTGTCGCGGAGTATACTCGTCCCGAAGATGTCTCTCGTCAAGTTCATTGTTCGTTTTTAATAACTAAGTTTAAGGTTGTTAAGCCAAAAACTGAAGCATCATCTGCTAATAAATCCAAATCAACTCTAAGAAAGCTTAAGGAAAAGAAGGACATCGAACTGAAAGTGAAGACTACGAAAAGGCCGAAGACCACTGTAACGAAGAAGCCAGTAACTAAGACCCTGAAGAAGCAGGTAGCACATATTCGCCGTGGTATCGAGGATGGTGTTGAGAAAGACGCCCCTATACGAGTTGTGAACAAGAGTAAGGGTACATCTGGTAGTTCTGTATGGTCCAAAGCTAATGTCGAACAAGTAAGCTATGGCTTCGACGGACGAGTTCGTACGGCAAAATTGAGAACCTCAAACGAAGAAACTGCTCGGGACGTACGACGCTAATGTTTACTAGAAGGAGCCGGCTGTCTGACGGCGACGACGACCCTGGACAACGGAAGTGGTGCGCGTTTCGGGGAGAGTGTAAAATGTGATTGATAGACGACCCCACCAATAATAAGGGAAACGCCCACCACCACACCAACTCCCTTTGACCTTGTACGACTGTATCTCTTTATTAACCAATCACAGTTTAATGTTCATTGTAAAACAATTTTGGCTTGTTGACTCATTTTTCCTATTCTCTAGCTACTGTTCGGTATGTTATTTGTCTCTGTTTTACTCTGTATTATAGGACCGTACTGTTTGTTTGTACGCTAACGATGTTAATTTATGTTAAGAAACAGATAAAGTTTATATAGCCAAATAGCTTACTTGTTCTGACTTTGGCTAAACCAGGACTCTGTACTCGACAGTCTAGAGATAAGCTTAGAGTTGAATCTGTAGGAAATTGCTTCCTACAAAGTTTCGAACAGTACATTCGATAAACCTACTGAAATGACTTCCAATAAACACTACGATTCCGATGAGATTCCAGAATTATCACCACATCATTCAGGAGTTTATGATGAGAATCAACTTGAAAAGAACGAACTCAAAAACAACAGCATGATAGAACTAGAGTTAGCTAGGTTGCGCATAACCCAGTTAGAAAAGGAAATTGAACTAGAAAAATTACGCTGCCGGAGATGTGAAGGTTTCTGTCAATCAGTAAGCCACAGTGAGAATACAATATTAAAAAATCGGTATTTACCAAAAAGAGAAGTCGTAAGGTTTGATGGTACACCGACAAATTATTGGAATTTCATTAGAAATTTCGAGAAATGCATTGGGAGTGAGAATACTGGATTTAGAGCTAAGCTAAATTACTTGATTCAATATTGTGACGTAGAAGCGAAAGCCGCTATCCTTCATTGTACTATACTAGAACCAGAGATGGGTTACCATCAAGCCCTAAAGATTTTAGAAGAAACGTTTGGCCAAAAACACGTCGTAGCACGCACGTTTATCGATAATTTATTAAACTTTCCCAATATAAGGAGAAATCAACCAGATGGTTTGAGAAGACTATCTCGAGAAATGCAAGCATGTAGTTTGACTCTCGAACAGATGAATTACGTTTCTGATTTGAACTCTTCTAGAACTATTGAAACTATGGTTCTGAAATTACCAACGCACATTCAACAAGAGTGGCTAAAGGTAGCTTATAAGATTATCAGAGGAGGCAGAGAGCCTCTGTTTACCGATCTTGTTGAGTTTGTAAAGGAGCAAGCTGATATAGCTAATACTAGATATGACCTACTCGTCAACCGCGGTAGTAATAGTGACAATAGAGAAGTTGACGTTTAAAAAAGGAAAATTAGTACAGATTACAATGCAGCAAGAATATCTTATGTGAGTGCTAGTGATGATAATGCTCTCTTACGCAGTTCATCTTGTTTGGAGTGCTCCAGTAATCATTCTTTAGATCAATGTCAGAAATTTAAAGACAAGAATGATAGAGAAAGGAAGGAATTCGTTCTTAGACACAAGTTGTGTAATGTATGCCTGAAGGCAAACCACGTATCAACAAACTGTCGATCGCCGAGGTCGTCTGATGTCGAAGGGGGTGGCTGGGGGTGCAATACTCTGTGACATGAGTTGCGGGAAGAACCAAGGACTACTAATATTGTTGCAAACATTAACACCAAGCTATGTACGGAGAAAAGTGTTGAGAGTGTACAGACACAAGCAGCATACGCAATAGTGCCTGTACTGGTAAGAAATGGAGAAAAGGTAGCACAGACTTGCGCCTTCTTAGATAGTGGGTCGGATGCCTCTCTTATTACAGAAGATCTAGCTAAAAGGTTGAATTTAGAAGGAGAGCCTAAGACGATTTCGTTGAAAACGTTGGATAACCATTCCACAATTCAGTGTAAAGAGGTTCAACTAGAGGTTTCATCCTTAGACTCGTCTTCGTCATTTAGAATCCCAAACGTATGGACAGTCGAGAGATTACCTATGTTGCGCAGGACGGTACCAACGACGTCTCAAATGAAATCCTGGATGCATTTAAAAGACATAAGTTTTCCTAGAGTGGAGGATGAGAATGTCGAACTGTTGATCGGGTGCAATGCACTGAGTGTACACGAAATGAAAGAGGTAAGAACTGGAAAACCAAATGAACCATTCGCCGTGAAGACTCCGTTAGGTTGGACGCTGTTCGGTTCCTATGGGGAACCCTGTAAAAGCAATCGTGTACTCAATCACCTCTCAGCTAAAGAGGAATTAGAGGATAAGTTTGAACAATCGTATTTAACTGAATTCAAAGACCTACTTAGTCGTACTTCATCGATGTCTATGGAAGATCGTATAGCATTATCAGAATCTGCATATGGTGTCGCGGAGTATACTCGTCCCGAAGATGTCTCTCGTCAAGTTCATTGTTCGTTTTTAATAACTAAGTATAAGGTTGTTAAGCCAAAAACTGAAGCATCATCTGCTAATAAATCCAAATCAACTCTAAGAAAGCTTAAGGAAAAGAAGGACATCGAACTGAAAGTGAAGACTACGAAAAGGCCGAAGACCACTGTAACGAAGAAGCCAGTAACTAAGACCCTGAAGAAGCAGGTAGCACATATTCGCCGTGGTATCGAGGATGGTGTTGAGAAAGACGCCCTTGTACGAGTTGTGAACAAGAGTAAGGGTACATCTGGTAGTTCTGTATGGTCCAAAGCTATTGTCGAACAAGTAAGCTATGGCTTCGACGGACGAGTTCGTACGGCAAAATTGAGAACCTCAAACGAAGAAACTGCTCGGGACGTACGACGCTTATGTTTACTAGAAGGAGCCGGCTGTCTGACGGCGACGACGACCCTGGACAACGGACGTGGTGCGCGTTTCGGGGAGAGTGTAAAATGTGATTGATAGACGAACCCACCAATAAAATGGGAAAGCCCAACCACCACATCAACTCCCTTTGACCTTGTACGACTGTATCTCTTAATTAACAACTCACAGTTTAATGTTCATTGTAAAACAATTTTGGCTTGTTGACTCATTTTTCCTATTCTCTAGCTACTGTTCGGTATGTTATTTGTCTCTGTTTTTCTCTGTATTAATAGACCGTACTGTTTGTTTGTACGCTAACGATGGTAATTTATTTTTTGAAACAGATAAAGTTTATATAGCCAAATAGCTTACTTGTTCTGACTTTGGCTAAACCAGGACTCTGTACTCGACAGTCTAGAGATTATCTTAGAGTTGAATCTGTACGAAATTGCTTCCTACAAAGTTTCGAACAGTACATTCGATAAACCTACTGAAATGACTTCCAATAAACACTACGATTCCGATGAGAATCCAGAATTATCACCACATCATTCAGGAGTTTATGATGAGGATCAACTTGGAAAGAACGAACTCAAAAACAACAGCATGATAGAACTAGAGTTAGCTAGGTTGCGCATAACCCAGTTAGAAAAGGAAATTGAACTAGAAAAATTACGCTGCCGGAGATGTGAAGGTTCCGGCCAATCAGTAAGCAACAGTGAGAATACAATATTAAAAAATCTGTATTTACCAAAAAGAGAAGTCGTCAGGTTTGATGGTACACCGACAAATTATTGGAATTTCATTAGAAATTTCGAGAAATGCATTGGGAGTGAGAATACTGGATTTAGAGCTAAGCTAAATTACATGATTCAATATTGTGACGTAGAAGCGAAAGCCGCTATCCTTCATTGTACTATACTAGAACCAGAGATGGGTTACCATCAAGCCCTAAAGCTTTTAGAAGAAACGTTTGGCCAAAAACACGTCGTAGCACGCACGTTTATCGATAATTTATTAAACTTTCCCAATATAAGGAGAAATCAACCAGATGGTTTGAGAAGACTATCTCGAGAAATGCAAGCATGTAGTTTGACTCTCGAACAGATGAATTACGTTTCTGATTTGAACTCTTCTAGAACTATTGAAACTATGGTTCTGAAATTACCAACGCACATTCAACAAGAGTGGCTAAAGGTAGCTTATACGATTATCAGAGGAGACAGAGAGCCTCTGTTTACCGATCTTGTTGAGTTTGTAAAGGAGCAAGCTGATATAGCTAATACTAGATATGGCCTACTCGTCAACCGCGGTAGTAATAGTGACAATAGAGATGTTGGCGTTTTAAAAAGGAAAATTAGTACAGATAACAATGAAGCAAGAATATCTTATGTGAGTGCTAATGATGATAATGCTCTCTTACGCAGTTCATCTTGTTTGGAGTGCTCCAGTAATCATTCTTTAGATCAATGTCAGAAATTTAAAGACAAGAATGTTAGAGAAAGGAAGGAATTCGTTCTTAGACACAAGTTGTGTAATGTATGCCTGAAGGCAAACCACGTAGCAAAAAACTGTCGATCGCCGAGGTCGTGTGCTGTCGAAGGGTGTGGCTGGAGACACCATACTCTGTTACATGAGTTGCGGGAAGAACCAAGGAATACTAATATTGATGCACACATTAACACCCAGCTATGTACGGAGAAAAGTGTTGAGAGTGTACAGAAACAAGCAGCATTCGCAATAGTGCCTGTACTGGTAAGAAATGGAGAAAAGGTAGCACAGACTTGCGCCTTCTTAGATAGTGGGTCGGATGCCTCTCTTATTACCGAAGATCTAGCTAAAAGGTTGAATTTAGAAGGAGCGCCTAAGACGATTACGTTGAAAACGTTGGGTAACCATTCCACAATTCAGTGTAAAGAGGTTCAACTAGAGGTTTCATCCTTAGACTCGTCTTCGTCATTTAGAATCCCAAACGTATGGACAGTCGAGAGATTACCTATGTTGCGCAGGACGGTACCAACGACGTCTCAAATGAAATCCTGGATGCATTTAAAAGACATAAGTTTTCCTAGAGTGGAGGATGAGAATGTCGAACTGTTGATCGGGTGCAATGCACTGAGTGTACACGAAATGAAAGAGGTAAGAACTGGAAAGCCAAATGAACCATTCGCCGTGAAGACTCCGTTAGATTGGACGCTGTTCGGTTCCTATGGGGAACCCTGTAAAAGCAATCGTGTACTCAATCACCTCTCAGCTAACGAGGAATTAGAGGATATGTTTGAACAATCGTATTTAACTGAATTCAAAGACCTACTTAGTCGTACTTCATCGATGTCTATGGAAGATCGTATAGCATTATCAGAATCTGCATATGGTGTCGCGGAGTATACTCGTCCCGAAGATGTCTCTCGTCAAGTTCATTGTTCGTTTTTAATAACTAAGTATAAGGTTGTTAGGCCAAAAACTGAAGCATCATCTGCTAATAAATCCAAATCAACTCTAAGAAAGCTTAAGGAAAAGAAGGACATCGAACTGAAAGTGAAGACTACGAAAAGGCCGAAGACCACTGTAACGAAGAAGCCAGTAACTAAGACCCTGAAGAAGCAGGTAGCACATATTCGCCGTGGTATCGAGGATGGTGTTGAGAAAGACGCCCTTGTACGAGTTGTGAACAAGAGTAAGGGTACATCTGGTAGTTCTGTATGGTCCAAAGCTATTGTCGAACAAGTAAGCTATGGCTTCGACGGACGAGTTCGTACGGCAAAATTGAGAACCTCAAACGAAGAAACTGCTCGGGACGTACGACGCTTATGTTTACTAGAAGGAGCCGGCTGTCTGACGGCGACGACGACCCTGGACAACGGACGTGGTGCGCGTTTCGGGGAGAGTGTAAAATGTGATTGATAGACGAACCCACCAATAATAAGGGAAACGCCCACCACCACATCAACTCCCTTTGACCTTGTACGACTGTATCTCTTTATTAACCAATCACAGTTTAATGTTCATTGTAAAACAATTTTGGCTTGTTGACTCATTTTTCCTATTCTCTAGCTACTGTTCGGTATGTTATTTGTCTCTGTTTTTCTCTGTATTAATAGACCGTACTGTTTGTTTGTACGCTAACGATGTTAATTTATGTTTAGAAACAGATAAAGTTTATATAGCCAAATAGCTTACTTGTTCTGACTTTGGCTAAACCAGGACTCTGTACTCGACAGTCTAGAGATAAGCTTAGAGTTGAATCTGTAGGAAATTGCTTCCTACAAAGTTTCGAACAGTACATTCGATATACCTACTGAAATGACTTCCAATAAACACTACGATTCCGATGAGATTCCAGAATTATCACCACATCATTCAGGAGTTTATGATGAGGATCAACTTGGAAAGAACGAACTCAAAAACAACAGCATGATAGAACTAGAGTTAGCTAGGTTGCGCATAACCCAGTTAGAAAAGGAAATTGAACTAGAAAAATTACGCTGCCGGAGATGTGAAGGTTCCGGCCAATCAGTAAGCAACAGTGAGAATACAATATTAAAAAATCTGTATTTACCAAAAAGAGAAGTCGTAAGGTTTGATGGTACACCGACAAATTATTGGAATTTCATTAGAAATTTCGAGAAATGCATTGGGAGTGAGAATACTGGATTTAGAGCTAAGCTAAATTACTTGATTCAATATTGTGACGTAGAAGCGAAAGCCGCTATCCTTCATTGTACTATACTAGAACCAGAGATGGGTTACCATCAAGCCCTAAAGCTTTTAGAAGAAACGTTTGGCCAAAAACACGTCGTAGCACGCACGTTTATCGATAATTTATTAAACTTTCCCAATATAAGGAGAAATCAACCAGATGGTTTGAGAAGACTATCTCGAGAAATGCAAGCATGTAGTTTGACTCTCGAACAGATGAATTACGTTTCTGATTTGAACTCTTCTAGAACTATTGGAACTATGGTTCTGAAATTACCAACGCACATTCAACAAGAGTGGCTAAAGGTAGCTTATAAGATTATCAGAGGAGGCAGAGAGCCTCTGTTTACCGATCTTGTTGAGTTTGTAAAGGAGCAAGCTGATATAGCTAATACTAGATATGGCCTACTCGTCAACCGCGGTAGTAATAGTGACAATAGAGATGTTGGCGTTTTAAAAAGGAAAATTAGTACAGATTACAATGCAGCAAGAATATCTTATGTGAGTGCTAATGATGATAATGCTCTCTTACGCAGTTCATCTTGTTTGGAGTGCTCCAGTAATCATTCTTTAGATCAATGTCAGAAATTTAAAGACAAGAATGTTAGAGAAAGGAAGGAATTCGTTCTTAGACACAAGTTGTGTAATGTATGCCTGAAGGCAAACCACGTAGCAAAAAACTGTCGATCGCCGAGGTCGTGTGCTGTCGAAGGGTGTGGCTGGAGACACCATACTCTGTTACATGAGTTGCGGGAAGAACCAAGGAATACTAATATTGATGCACACATTAACACCCAGCTATGTACGGAGAAAAGTGTTGAGAGTGTACAGAAACAAGCAGCATTCGCAATAGTGCCTGTACTGGTAAGAAATGGAGAAAAGGTAGCACAGACTTGCGCCTTCTTAGATAGTGGGTCGGATGCCTCTCTTATTACAGAAGATCTAGCTAAAAGGTTGAATTTAGAAGGAGAGCCTAAGACGATTTCGTTGAAAACGTTGGGTAACCATTCCACAATTCAGTGTAAAGAGGTTCAACTAGAGGTTTCATCCTTAGACTCGTCTTCGTCATTTAGAATCCCAAACGTATGGACAGTCGAGAGATTACCTATGTTGCGCAGGACGGTACCAACGACGTCTCAAATGAAATCCTGGATGCATTTAAAAGACATAAGTTTTCCTAGAGTGGAGGATGAGAATGTCGAACTGTTGATCGGGTGCAATGCACTGAGTGTACACGAAATGAAAGAGGTAAGAACTGGAAAACCAAATGAACCATTCGCCGTGAAGACTCCGTTAGGTTGGACGCTGTTCGGTTCCTATGGGGAACCCTGTAAAAGCAATCGTGTACTCAATCACCTCTCAGCTAAAGAGGAATTAGAGGATAAGTTTGAACAATCGTATTTAACTGAATTCAAAGACCTACTTAGTCGTACTTCATCGATGTCTATGGAAGATCGTATAGCATTATCAGAATCTGCATATGGTGTCGCGGAGTATACTCGTCCCGAAGATGTCTCTCGTCAAGTTCATTGTTCGTTTTTAATAACTAAGTATAAGGTTGTTAAGCCAAAAACTGAAGCATCATCTGCTAATAAATCCAAATCAACTCTAAGAAAGCTTAAGGAAAAGAAGGACATCGAACTGAAAGTGAAGACTACGAAAAGGCCGAAGACCACTGTAACGAAGAAGCCAGTAACTAAGACCCTGAAGAAGCAGGTAGCACATATTCGCCGTGGTATCGAGGATGGTGTTGAGAAAGACGCCCTTGTACGAGTTGTGAACAAGAGTAAGGGTACATCTGGTAGTTCTGTATGGTCCAAAGCTATTGTCGAACAAGTAAGCTATGGCTTCGACGGACGAGTTCGTACGGCAAAATTGAGAACCTCAAACGAAGAAACTGCTCGGGACGTACGACGCTTATGTTTACTAGAAGGAGCCGGCTGTCTGACGGCGACGACGACCCTGGACAACGGACGTGGTGCGCGTTTCGGGGAGAGTGTAAAATGTGATTGATAGACGAACCCACCAATAATAAGGGAAACGCCCACCACCACATCAACTCCCTTTGACCTTGTACGACTGTATCTCTTTATTAACCAATCACAGTTTAATGTTCATTGTAAAACAATTTTGGCTTGTTGACTCATTTTTCCTATTCTCTAGCTACTGTTCGGTATGTTATTTGTCTCTGTTTTTCTCTGTATTAATAGACCGTACTGTTTGTTTGTACGCTAACGATGTTAATTTATGTTTAGAAACAGATAAAGTTTATATAGCCAAATAGCTTACTTGTTCTGACTTTGGCTAAACCAGGACTCTGTACTCGACAGTCTAGAGATAAGCTTAGAGTTGAATCTGTAGGAAATTGCTTCCTACAAAGTTTCGAACAGTACATTCGATATACCTACTGAAATGACTTCCAATAAACACTACGATTCCGATGAGATTCCAGAATTATCACCACATCATTCAGGAGTTTATGATGAGGATCAACTTGGAAAGAACGAACTCAAAAACAACAGCATGATAGAACTAGAGTTAGCTAGGTTGCGCATAACCCAGTTAGAAAAGGAAATTGAACTAGAAAAATTACGCTGCCGGAGATGTGAAGGTTCCGGCCAATCAGTAAGCAACAGTGAGAATACAATATTAAAAAATCTGTATTTACCAAAAAGAGAAGTCGTAAGGTTTGATGGTACACCGACAAATTATTGGAATTTCATTAGAAATTTCGAGAAATGCATTGGGAGTGAGAATACTGGATTTAGAGCTAAGCTAAATTACTTGATTCAATATTGTGACGTAGAAGCGAAAGCCGCTATCCTTCATTGTACTATACTAGAACCAGAGATGGGTTACCATCAAGCCCTAAAGCTTTTAGAAGAAACGTTTGGCCAAAAACACGTCGTAGCACGCACGTTTATCGATAATTTATTAAACTTTCCCAATATAAGGAGAAATCAACCAGATGGTTTGAGAAGACTATCTCGAGAAATGCAAGCATGTAGTTTGACTCTCGAACAGATGAATTACGTTTCTGATTTGAACTCTTCTAGAACTATTGAAACTATGGTTCTGAAATTACCAACGCACATTCAACAAGAGTGGCTAAAGGTAGCTTATAAGATTATCAGAGGAGGCAGAGAGCCTCTGTTTACCGATCTTGTTGAGTTTGTAAAGGAGCAAGCTGATATAGCTAATACTAGATATGGCCTACTCGTCAACCGCGGTAGTAATAGTGACAATAGAGATGTTGGCGTTTTAAAAAGGAAAATTAGTACAGATTACAATGCAGCAAGAATATCTTATGTGAGTGCTAATGATGATAATGCTCTCTTACGCAGTTCATCTTGTTTGGAGTGCTCCAGTAATCATTCTTTAGATCAATGTCAGAAATTTAAAGACAAGAATGTTAGAGAAAGGAAGGAATTCGTTCTTAGACACAAGTTGTGTAATGTATGCCTGAAGGCAAACCACGTAGCAAAAAACTGTCGATCGCCGAGGTCGTGTGCTGTCGAAGGGTGTGGCTGGAGACACCATACTCTGTTACATGAGTTGCGGGAAGAACCAAGGAATACTAATATTGATGCACACATTAACACCCAGCTATGTACGGAGAAAAGTGTTGAGAGTGTACAGAAACAAGCAGCATTCGCAATAGTGCCTGTACTGGTAAGAAATGGAGAAAAGGTAGCACAGACTTGCGCCTTCTTAGATAGTGGGTCGGATGCCTCTCTTATTACAGAAGATCTAGCTAAAAGGTTGAATTTAGAAGGAGAGCCTAAGACGATTTCGTTGAAAACGTTGGGTAACCATTCCACAATTCAGTGTAAAGAGGTTCAACTAGAGGTTTCATCCTTAGACTCGTCTTCGTCATTTAGAATCCTAAACGTATGGACAGTCGAGAGATTACCTATGTTGCGCAGGACGGTACCAACGACGTCTCAAATGAAATCCTGGATGCATTTAAAAGACATAAGTTTTCCTAGAGTGGAGGATGAGAATGTCGAACTGTTGATCGGGTGCAATGCACTGAGTGTACACGAAATGAAAGAGGTAAGAACTGGAAAACCAAATGAACCATTCGCCGTGAAGACTCCGTTAGGTTGGACGCTGTTCGGTTCCTATGGGGAACTCTGTAAAAGCAATCGTGTACTCAATCACCTCTCAGCTAAAGAGGAATTAGAGGATAAGTTTGAACAATCGTATTTAACTGAATTCAAAGACCTACTTAGTCGTACTTCATCGATGTCTATGGAAGATCGTATAGCATTATCAGAATCTGCATATGGTGTCGCGGAGTATACTCGTCCCGAAGATGTCTCTCGTCAAGTTCATTGTTCGTTTTTAATAACTAAGTATAAGGTTGTTAAGCCAAAAACTGAAGCATCATCTGCTAATAAATCCAAATCAACTCTAAGAAAGCTTAAGGAAAAGAAGGACATCGAACTGAAAGTGAAGACTACGAAAAGGCCGAAGACCACTGTAACGAAGAAGCCAGTAACTAAGACCCTGAAGAAGCAGGTAGCACATATTCGCCGTGGTATCGAGGATGGTGTTGAGAAAGACGCCCTTGTACGAGTTGTGAACAAGAGTAAGGGTACATCTGGTAGTTCTGTATGGTCCAAAGCTATTGTCGAACAAGTAAGCTATGGCTTCGACGGACGAGTTCGTACGGCAAAATTGAGAACCTCAAACGAAGAAACTGCTCGGGACGTACGACGCTTATGTTTACTAGAAGGAGCCGGCTGTCTGACGGCGACGACGACCCTGGACAACGGACGTGGTGCGCGTTTCGGGGAGAGTGTAAAATGTGATTGATAGACGAACCCACCAATAATAAGGGAAACGCCCACCACCACATCAACTCCCTTTGACCTTGTACGACTGTATCTCTTTATTAACCAATCACAGTTTAATGTTCATTGTAAAACAATTTTGGCTTGTTGACTCATTTTTCCTATTCTCTAGCTACTGTTCGGTATGTTATTTGTCTCTGTTTTTCTCTGTATTAATAGACCGTACTGTTTGTTTGTACGCTAACGATGTTAATTTATGTTTAGAAACAGATAAAGTTTATATAGCCAAATAGCTTACTTGTTCTGACTTTGGCTAAACCAGGACTCTGTACTCGACAGTCTAGAGATAAGCTTAGAGTTGAATCTGTACGAAATTGCTTCCTACAAAGTTTCGAACAGTACATTCGATAAACCTACTGAAATGACTTCCAATAAACACTACGATTCCGATGAGATTCCAGAATTATCACCACATCATTCAGGAGTTTATGATGAGGATCAACTTGGAAAGAACGAACTCAAAAACAACAGCATGATAGAACTAGAGTTAGCTAGGTTGCGCATAACCCAGTTAGAAAAGGAAATTGAACTAGAAAAATTACGCTGCCGGAGATGTGAAGGTTCCGGCCAATCAGTAAGCAACAGTGAGAATACAATATTAAAAAATCTGTATTTACCAAAAAGAGAAGTCGTAAGGTTTGATGGTACACCGACAAATTATTGGAATTTCATTAGAAATTTCGAGAAATGCATTGGGAGTGAGAATACTGGATTTAGAGCTAAGCTAAATTACTTGATTCAATATTGTGACGTAGAAGCGAAAGCCGCTATCCTTCATTGTACTATACTAGAACCAGAGATGGGTTACCATCAAGCCCTAAAGCTTTTAGAAGAAACGTTTGGCCAAAAACACGTCGTAGCACGCACGTTTATCGATAATTTATTAAACTTTCCCAATATAAGGAGAAATCAACCAGATGGTTTGAGAAGACTATCTCGAGAAATGCAAGCATGTAGTTTGACTCTCGAACAGATGAATTACGTTTCTGATTTGAACTCTTCTAGAACTATTGAAACTATGGTTCTGAAATTACCAACGCACATTCAACAAGAGTGGCTAAAGGTAGCTTATAAGATTATCAGAGGAGGCAGAGAGCCTCTGTTTACCGATCTTGTTGAGTTTGTAAAGGAGCAAGCTGATATAGCTAATACTAGATATGGCCTACTCGTCAACCGCGGTAGTAATAGTGACAATAGAGATGTTGGCGTTTTAAAAAGGAAAATTAGTACAGATTACAATGCAGCAAGAATATCTTATGTGAGTGCTAGTGATGACAATGCTCTCTTACGCAGTTCATCTTGTTTGGAGTGCTCCAGTAATCATTCTTTAGATCAATGTCAGAAATTTAAAGACAAGAATGTTAGAGAAAGGAAGGAATTCGTTCTTAGACACAAGTTGTGTAATGTATGCCTGAAGGCAAACCACGTAGCAAAAAACTGTCGATCGCCGAGGTCGTGTGCTGTCGAAGGGTGTGGCTGGAGACACCATACTCTGTTACATGAGTTGCGGGAAGAACCAAGGAATACTAATATTGATGCACACATTAACACCCAGCTATGTACGGAGAAAAGTGTTGAGAGTGTACAGAAACAAGCAGCATTCGCAATAGTGCCTGTACTGGTAAGAAATGGAGAAAAGGTAGCACAGACTTGCGCCTTCTTAGATAGTGGGTCGGATGCCTCTCTTATTACAGAAGATCTAGCTAAAAGGTTGAATTTAGAAGGAGAGCCTAAGACGATTTCGTTGAAAACGTTGGGTAACCATTCCACAATTCAGTGTAAAGAGGTTCAACTAGAGGTTTCATCCTTAGACTCGTCTTCGTCATTTAGAATCCCAAACGTATGGACAGTCGAGAGATTACCTATGTTGCGCAGGACGGTACCAACGACGTCTCAAATGAAATCCTGGATGCATTTAAAAGACATAAGTTTTCCTAGAGTGGAGGATGAGAATGTCGAACTGTTGATCGGGTGCAATGCACTGAGTGTACACGAAATGAAAGAGGTAAGAACTGGAAAACCAAATGAACCATTCGCCGTGAAGACTCCGTTAGGTTGGACGCTGTTCGGTTCCTATGGGGAACCCTGTAAAAGCAATCGTGTACTCAATCACCTCTCAGCTAAAGAGGAATTAGAGGATAAGTTTGAACAATCGTATTTAACTGAATTCAAAGACCTACTTAGTCGTACTTCATCGATGTCTATGGAAGATCGTATAGCATTATCAGAATCTGCATATGGTGTCGCGGAGTATACTCGTCCCGAAGATGTCTCTCGTCAAGTTCATTGTTCGTTTTTAATAACTAAGTATAAGGTTGTTAAGCCAAAAACTGAAGCATCATCTGCTAATAAATCCAAATCAACTCTAAGAAAGCTTAAGGAAAAGAAGGACATCGAACTGAAAGTGAAGACTACGAAA